TCTGAAGACTCTGATTCAGGGAGCTAGGAGGCCAGGAATGTTCCTAAGTTGTTTTATTTTTCCTGATACGCAGAATATTTGATAATCATAACTTTAGGCTTCAACACTGTAAAATAATAAAACATGTTTTCTAAACAAACAAGTTTCGAATAGGCTTATTAAAATATGTAATAATATAAATTTATCCATTAGTGTAGTGGACATCATTTAAATAAATATTGGAAAACCTGAAAAGTCCCTCCTAATATGGCCAAAAACTAATCAAAGATATTAGAGAATTCCTGCATATTTAAGTAAACATACAAATGTGTTTCTCCTATAGTTAAACCAGTGATATTTTCTAGTTTTTCCATTTAAAACTCTTACTGTAAATACTTAGGTTTTCCTTATATATAACACATTTTAATAAATCAACCAGATATTCTCCTGATAAAGTGGAATGTTTGTTTAGAAGTTTGGCAATTTGTAGCTTACCCATGGGTAACTTGAATTTAATGCACTTTTTAATCTGTTCATGCAGGCATTCTGTAATGACTGGACTCCTATTATTTCACTACAGCAGACCACAGGAAGAGTGCAATTGCTGTCAGCATGCTAACTTCATCAGGTGTGGGCACAGAATCTTCTGAAAATGAAAAATGGAAAAAAGTGCCATTTCCAAAACTTTTGGAAATTCAATCTTCAACAACTCTCCTCTACTCCTAACATCTATCACTGTTTATCAAGAAAATAAATTAAAATGTTACCATTTTGAAATGGGTAATTATAAACAATTCAGGCAAAATGGATACTAAAACCACTGTGTAAAAGTTTGATAGACAGCAAACAATTAAGGTAGTTTCAAAATATTTCCCCATTGATTCCTTTTTAGTTATAAAAAGGAGAAATGACAGCTGTATAGTGGAGAAACAAGGCAGATATGATCCTAACAAAGTCATTAAAGTTAAGATTCCCAATAATGAGACAAAGCAACATTATATGCTTTCTTATATAATGCTCTGAGAAGTATTTATATAGTATTTTCCGAAAATGCATAAAAGTACGGAAAAAATTAGATAACTCAAAATTATGAAACATTCTACAAAAGTAAATGGCCTGCACTCTTCAAAAATATTAATGTCATGGGGCTTGGGTTGTGGCTCAGTGGTAGAGTGCTCGCCTAGCAAGTGGATCCTCAGCATCACATTAAAAAACAAGTAAATAAATAAATAAAAACAAAGGTATTGTGTCCAACTACAACTTAAAAACAAACACACAAATAAACATTAATGTCACAAAAGATTAAGCCTGAGGAACTATCCCGGATTAAAGAAAACTAAAGAAATATGACAACTAAGGAAAAGAAAAAGTTCTATAAAAGTCGTGATTAGCACATTTAAAATATACATATGATTAATAACAGCATTTTATCAATGTTAAATTGCCTAAAATTTATAATTCTATTATCATGTAAGGAATGTTCTTGTTCTTAGGAAATCTGTGAAGTATTTAAAGTAAAGAGTCATGATGACTTCAATATATTCTCAAATGATTCAGCAAAATTAATAATAAAGGTACAGGGGCTGAGGTTGTTGCTTGGTGGCAGAACACTTGCTTCCCACATGTAAATCACTGAGTTTGATCCTTAGCACTGCATAAATTAAATAAACAAAATAAAGATATTGTGTCCATGTATAACTAAATATTTTTTTTAAAAATTAATTTATGAGTGATATGTGGATAATAATAAATCCTTGTGGCAAAATGTTAACTGGTGAATCTAGGAAAGTGGTATACTGGTGTTTTCTACTCTTGAAATTAAGTTTGATGGGCTGGGGATGTGGCTCAAGTGGTAGTGTGCTCGCCTGGCATGCATGCGGCCCGGGTTTCATCCTCAGCACCACATAAAAAAAAAGATGTTGTGTCTGCCGAAAGTAAAAAAAATAAATAAATATTAAAATTCTCTCTCTCTCTCTCTCTCTCTCTCAATCTCCTCTCTCTCTCTGTCTTGAAAAATAATTAAGGGAATTGCTAGCTTTATACTATATAAATATTCCCATGGCTTTGATCCTTCATTCATAAGTATACCTCCTGTGAGTTCAGCTCTGGACAGAATATCTTAGGCAAGTTAATTGTATTATCAGACCTTCAAATTCACTTCATATAATGAACCAGCTTGATAAAATAGCAAACACTTTCTGTTAAAGTTGACAATTTAGTGCTACGGTTGTGGTTCAGTGGTACAGTGTTAGCCTAGCACATATGAGGCACTGGGTTTGACCCTCAGCACTGTATAAAATTAACAGCCTACCACATGTGAGGCACTGGGTTTGAACCTCAGCACTGTATAAAATTAACTTTAAAAAATAAATAAATAAAGGCATTGTGTCCCTCTACAACTAAATAAATTTTTTTTTTTTAAATTGACAATTTAGGGTTGGGGCTGCAGCTCAGTGGTAGAGTGCCTGCCTCACACGTGTGAGGCACTGGATTCAATCCTTAGCACAACATAAAAAAATAAAATAAAAAATAAAGATATTGTAGGGCTGGGGCTGGGGCTTAGTGGTAGAGTGCCTAGCACGTGTGAGGCACTGGATTTGATCCTCAGCACCACTTAAAAATAAATAAATAAATAAAATAAGGGTATTGTATCCTAATTCTGGATATGCTCAAAAAAATTAAAACTACTTATAACACATTCTTCACCATTTCTTCCTCCTGATATTCCTATTTATCTATTAATCTGTACATACATTCATATATGAGGCATTTAATCCTTTTAAGTTTGTTAAAATCTGTGTTAAGATGCAAAATATTAACACTTTATAAAGCTAAAATAATTTCAGCTACATTAATATAACTAAAGTTTTCCCCTTATATATAATTTTTTAACAAATCACATTCTAAATATCTGTACATTATTCAAAATATAAAAAGCATATGGAAAGAAAATAAAACTTGTAATTCTACCATCCAATGACAGTTTAGATTTAATTTCTAGGTTTTGATTTAATTTCTTCTGGTCTAAGTTAAAAAAAATTATATATATATTTAAAAATATGATATGTAACAGATAAAATGGACATATAATCCAAACTAATATACTGTCATGAATAATTTTTCCCACTGACAAATATATTTATCACACATTTTATTATTGTAAAATAAATGTATTGATGATATATAATCTTGAATTTAATTTTTTAAATTAACAAGGCCAAAGAATATGCATTCTGTATGTGTGGTACTATGGATTAAATTATGTGCCTCATGCATGCTAATCAAGTGTTCTACCACTGAGCTACATATAGCCCCAAGTATGCATTTTCTTTCTTTCTTCTTTTTTTAATTGGTATTGGAAATTTAACTTACTTTATCACTGAGCTACATCCCCATTCCTTTTTTTTGGTACTGGGGATTGAACCCATGGCCTTATGCATGCAAGACAAGCACTCTACCAACTGGGCTATATCCCTGCCCCCCTCCCGCATTCCTTTTTATTTCTTATTTTTAGACGGGGTCTTGCTAAATTGCTGAGGGTCTCATTAAGTTGCTGAGAGTGGCTTTGATTCCCAATACTCCTGCCTTAGCTTCCTGAGTCACTGGGATTATCAGTGTGCTGCACATGGCTCCAAGTATGCATTCTTCTTCTTTTGTTTTTGTTTTTTTGTACCAAGTATTGAACCCAAGAGTATTTAACTATTAAGCCATATTTTCAGCCCTTTTAAATTTTTATTTTGAGACAGGGTATCACTAGGTTGCTTTTAGCCTTGCTAAATTGCTGAGGCTGGCTTCAAATCTTCAATCTGCCTCCCTTGGCCTCCTCAATGACTGACTGGGATTATAGGTTATGTGCCACCACATCTGGCTTTCTTAAAGGCTCGTTATACATCTTGAAGAATTAGTCCCTGAAAATTTAAATCAGTTTAAATTCTCTTCAGCAAAGTATAAAAATGTTTGGTAATAATTTCAGCTGAACATATTCATATTTTTCAAAAGTCATTTTACAAGGAAAAAATTATATTAGTGTTTTGGCTGTATTCTTTTACCCATTAATGTGGCTGATTTTTTTT